CTACCAATTCCTAACAGGTACTAAATCCATAGCTACCAACGTTTAACAGGTACTAAGTCCATAGCTACCGGTGTTTGTCCCATAGGCACTAAGTCTATAGCTGCCAATGTATCATCTTCTATCTCTCATCATTCATCTACCCATCTCATACCCAACATATTCGTATATATAAAATACGTATACAACTTAAATTCTTTAAAACATGTATAAAACGTTCATCCAGCATAGACAGCAAGTATTCAGATAATATGCACACATAGCACGTAGTTTATACAAAATACTTCATATCTATGTGTAAGATGAAAGGGACCATGCACTCACTTGAGAAGGTGGTGACTCGGTACCCGGACAGCGCTTCGTTTACTTTAAAATAATTTCCTTTGATGAAACCTAATATTATCACCACTAGATTTTAGTCTAATATTACCGTCACTAATTAATAGTCTTATTATTATTATTATATAAGCGTTTAATCAATACTTTCCAACTACTATGTACAGACAGGGGCCAGACATAAAACACCGGAGGGCAGGACCATTTTGGCGTATAGCACTTCTGAAATCCAACAACCCTATGCGGCCCTTTAAACCAGATTCCCCGTACCGCGAGTAGTTAAAAGATATTATAACGACACTTATATAAGTCATAATAATAGCTCAAATATTTATTATAAATTTATAATAACAATACTAATTTTAAATATAAACTATATTTAAAATAGGGTAAGCATAACTTACTTTCAAGGGGATTTTAGCTAGGAGTCGGGCTCTGCAGGGGCAGAACTTCGTCGCTGAATCTTTCTAAGAAAGATTCGTGCAGCGCTTCAGTGCTCACCTTACTATACTAAAACTACAGAAAGAGAAGTCGAATCACGAAGGACCGAAATGCTCGGGGGATAAGGAGAGAAAGACTCTTAAATCAAGAGAATGGTGCAAGAAATATGAGAGCCCAAGGCTCTTATTTATACTAATTGAATTTTCAAAAACTACCCTCCATAATTACTTAATGACCTTTTAGTTATATAAACAACTAAACACCCTTCTATAATACTATTTTAAATGGATTTAATGATCTTTGTACTAAACTAATGTCGAAAGAACTCAACATTAGTCTTATAATGACCGCATCGTCGATACCTTTCTAATGATATATACATATGTATATATATGTGTACATATACATAATTTATACTTTATTTTAATAGATAAATATGCTATTATAATTTGTAACTCGTTCATACGAACTCTGTTTTTGATGTTCTTTATATACACGCGTAGGTGGAGACGTACTCTACAACTTTCGTTTAGACCCCGTCGGCTAATTTTGACTTTATTTTTAAAGTTATATTTTTAACAGGTCGGGACAGGATTGGTCCGTTAAAATCTCATAACTTCTTTATCCGATGTCCATTTTCGTCTGTCTTTTTATCGTTATGCTACTAATAACGAGATCTTCGATTCTTGTTTAGGTTGTGTCGGCTAAAAATCAATCGATCTAAAATTTGAATTTCGGGCTGTACACCGCTAATCCGAAACTTCGAAAAATCATAACATCTTCATACGAAGTCAGATTTGGGCGTTCTTTTTATCGATGTTCTTAGTTTAGCATATTCTACGACTGTCGTTTAGAGCGCTAAGGCTAAATCTCTCTCTATCATAAATTTACTATTTACGCTTCCCGACGTCGTGTCGGTTTCGACGCGAAACTTCGACGGGTCATAACTTCTTCGTTATAACTCGGATTTCGGCGTTCTTTATATGTACGGAAACCTTGTGACATATTCTACAACTTGGTTAAGATTATTTATTCTAAATAATCTTTTTGTCGAAAAGTCATTTTCGACCCCTATTGCCTTTAAATTGACTAGCCCGGATCTGCGGGCGTTACATTCTACAAATATATTATTTGGATAAATAGTTATATGTTATAAATGTAAATACATACTCATATAAACGACATACATTTTTCTATATCTACCGGGTTTTGGGAATCATCATAGTTTTCGTTTCCCTTATCTACGGTCCTCATTGAACACTATAATGGAAATGTTAAGAGTAAGAACATATTATATCATCAAGAATGTAACATTTTATAATATAGACCATGTGATTTAGTAATTATGTATGTGTGTGTGTTTCAGAAAGCAACACAACCCTTAATAAATAACCAACTATACTAAAAATTTGTAATCCAAAAACACAATAGAAGAAACTGATACATAGCTAATAGAAAATTTCCATAGATACCAAAAAAATATTATTTATCAATTCATAAGTCAACACAAGAAAAATAAACCACACATGAAAAAAATCACCACAATATATCTAACATTAATGTAGATCAACTATAAAAGCCATACACGCGTACAAGTTGTCAAAACTTCAAAAAGAAAAACACCACCAAATGTCTCACACGGAATTAAAAATTCTTCTAGGCATATTTATGATGTTAAATGCTTTCGGCATCATTGGTTGGAACTCTACGTTGCTTAATTTGGTTGATATCAAAATGTTCACTGAAAATAAGATAAAAACTATTAAAACGTATTGATTTAGTTATTTTAATTTCACTATAATTATTATAAATTTCTAGAAAAAAAACTTACTTGAATCTAAATGAACCAATTTCACCCGAGAAACAAATATTATATATTTTCTTTTTATCGCATAGATAGTTTTCACAATCTGATGGCGTGTTCTGTCGGTTATATATAGTTTCATCTTTATTATACTCCCCCAATTTATAATCAAATATTTCCAAAGTGATCTAACTTTAATTTAGTGTAATAATAATAATAATAATAATAATAATAATAATAATAATAATAATAATAATAATAATAATAATAATAATAACAACAACAACAACAATAACAACAACAACAACAACAATAATAATAATAAACACTTACAACCCATCTTGGAGATATAAATTGAACGAAGTTAACGTCAGTACACCAAAGTAACCGAAATAGTTTTGTTTGTCTTTGATGATTTTTCCAACAATATCTAAAAATAGCGATAATTAAAAAGATAACTTATTATTATTTTAAAAACTTTAGAATGCTAAAAAGATATATAAGTTATCAAATTTACCAATCATCATTTTTCTCTCTATTTGATCCTCTACTAAACTTTTTATCGAGGGAACCAATGGAAAAACCGGAAACCATGATATGATAGCATCAGCCAAACGATTAAACCGTGTGTTATTGTTGATCTTAATCATCAAATCACCATGTAATAAACTGTATTGTTGATACCTCGGATACTCAGCATAGATTTGTTCGATTTAGAAATGGTTTAAAGAAAACACATTATCCAATAGATTCCATCCATAAATAAAACGTATCATTTGTTGTTGAACAATTGTTACCAATTTCTCTCTCTAATAGAAAATGTTATATTTGTATAAACAAAATACTTATGATAAATTATGAAAATGAAAATAAGATATAAATAGTTTTTAAACATACATTTTGATCAATGAGAACAATGAAGAGTTTGTTTGTTCTTGAGTCTATCCAAATGAAATCCACACGAATGGGTGTCAAAATATACCACAAATGGTAGTTTAGTAACAATGAAAATGCATCAACGTAAATGTGACCATTCATGATTCTACAAAACGAAAGTCATATGTGTTTGATTAAAATTGCCAAAATTGAACTTAAATATTACTTTTTTGTTGAAATGGTTAAAATAGAAATGTTTGTAGTTTTCGGTTAAAAATAAAAATGTGTTATTGTTTATGGGCTAAAGTTTTGCATGGTTCATCAACATATAACATGCATAATCATTAAATGTTGATAATAGTTTTTCTTATCAAAAACAGTATTTTTAAAATATATTACTTTTTGAAATATAGCACATGATATTTAAATGTAATAATTGCAATAAATGTAATAATAAATGCATATCAGTTTTAATAATTGACTTTTCTTCTAATTTCAACATATCTAAATTAAAACTTCATTAGTTTCTTTTGTTTATTTATCAAAATTATTTGTTTAAAAATAAAAGAGAAAAAAAAACACTTTAATTTTAATAATTCAATATTTTTCTAATTTTTCTTATAAATTCAAACTTTTTCAAATGTTTAGAATTTTCATAATTATTTTTTTTAAATAAACTTATATAATACATATTTCTTACACCTATTTTATATATATATATATATATATATATATATATATATATATATATATATATATATATATATATACACACACACACACAACATCCATAATGCATTTTCATAGAGTTTAATGAATTACCATAATATTATTCACTACTAATTTATAATCTATGAGAATCACGGTTACAAAATTAATTAAACTTTTATAATAAAAAAACTCAAAATTATTAATCAATTATTTTAAATAAATTATTAATTAAAATATATGTGAAATTATAATCGTTGATTCAAATAAATATGTAAAATTAATTTTTAATATATATTAGATATTTTTTTTATTTGTGAATTAATAAGGATGTTTAATAAACTTAAAATGAAGAGCTAATTGATTCACAAGTAACAAAACATTAAAATCTAATATAATATTACATGACAAAAAAATCTATTTTTTTTATTAGTATAGAAAAATTATGACCAACAACAATATTATTCACTATTATAGCCAACATGGAACTAACCCACATGATAGAAATGGAATTCACTTAAATTACCATATTATTATTCACTATTATGGCCAATATGAGACTAACCCATATCGTAAAAATGAAATTCACTATTATGACCAATATGGATCTAACCAACTTGGATAGGAATAGAAGCCTCATAAATTGAAGGTCCCTATGAGCATAATCAAATTAACTTCTAACCACTAACCATTTCTTAAAAAAAAACATACAACTATATATATATATATATTTTTCTCACAATACATTTAATTCTATAAAATTCAATAAAATAAATTTAAATGTTCATTTAAGAATTAGAGAATTTTTTAGTATTGCACTCCACATTCATTTGAATGTCAGCTTCGTCTCGTATATGTGCATGGGGGACACCAAGACCAAATGTAACAAACATATCATTCTTATCAAGAAACCGCGTTTCAGCACTACACCACCATCCACAAAACAATCAAAACAGAATATAAAATGGTTGACCGATATGCACCCAAATAAAAACAAACATCTGCTATGAAAATAAATAAAACATATGTAAAAATAATTCCCATCAACTCAAACTATTCAACGTATTACTAATAACCGGCAGTAAAACCTAGATACAAAATCACAAATACTCAAAATACCAAAATACTAACACTAACACTAACCATTTCTGTTCAAGTTCTATTCTAATTCATATCCAACCTAAGGTTTGCATTTAGATCCCACCTCCAGTTTGATGCAGCATTGCATCAATTTCATCACCTTCCTCCATCTCAAGCTGTGTTTACAATAACAATCATAAGTATCATGAGCAGCTTTCCAAATCAAACAAAAAAAACCATTGCAATTTAAACTACCTCATCAGGAGTTTGTTCAGCTCGAAGACGCCGCCCATCAAATAGAAAAGCAATAGCGTTCATATCCAGCGATTGTCTATCACAGTAGGCATTCATTAACTTCTTCAGCTGTGTGCTACGCTTGATCCTGAAGAACACCTCGTTCCCTTCCTACAACAGCAACAAAACGAGAAAAATAATTCAACATCTACCATGTTCGCGTACCAAAACAGGACACATATCTTTCTACTGAAATAGTAATCGTTTCGTTATCTACTTTCGAGTTTCGACTGTATCATTTAAGATGGAAAACAGGTTATTTTCTTAAAATCGATATGAACAAGCCGTTACAGACAGTAAAAGCCTACAATGATCAACGAACTGACCGAGTAAATGATTTAACCAAATCGAATAAACACTACAGGATTACGCAATCACGGATGTAAAAGTATATTGGCAGACTTAAAGTACGACCAAACATAAACAAACTAGAAATACCAAAAAAAAAAAAATCATACGCCTTATTACCTGACCCTTAACCTTGAGATTGATGTGTGCCGCCTGATCTATCGGCTTCTTCTCATCTTCATGAGTTAGTCCTCCGTCTCCCCCGTGTGCCGACATTTTTATCGATAAATTCTAGGGTTTGCTCACGGCTTGATTTTGGCTGTGAATGAGTTGAGAGATGTGAGATCGAATGGGGAATAGAAAGGGCGGTTTATAGGGGATTTTGAAAAACTATATTTAAATGTAATTTGGGTTCCGTATGCGTATGAGATGAGGGGATTTTTTATTTTGACTTTTGCTTCTTTTGATTTTTTGTGGTGGTTTTGTTGTTTCTTTTGACTTTTGACTAGGAATGAGCGTTGGAACCGGATCGGATTCAGACAGGAACTGGATCGGTTCGGAATCGGAACCGGTAGTACGATAGTATAAGAATCGGTAATCGGACCGCCGGTTCCAATACCGGTTCCGGTTTTCTGATTATTTTTCCAAACAAGAACCGGTTAAAATTTAGGTGAAACTAATGATTTTTTCGGTTAAAAATTAGGTACAACTAGTTTAGATGCAATTCATAATACTTACATGTTGTTAAGTTGGCTTCTAAAAGAACATAATATTCAATAATCAAGTTTCAAAAAAACATATTATTCAATAATCAAGTTTTAAAAAAACATAGCCGTGTTCAAAAAACAAACTCGTCCCCACATATCAATTTTAATACAATGCAACTAATCAAGTTTAAACCAAAATAATTCTTTCTAACTATCATCTACTTCTCCATTGGTTTCTTTCCCATTGCTTTGTCATTGTGTAAAGCTTCATCGATTTCTATATAAACACAAAACAAAAATGTTGTTAGCATTTACTAAAATATAAAGGTCGTATAAAAATATAACAAGGATTGAAAGTACAAAATACCCATAGTTACTTCATCATCATTTAAAATGTCATCCACGTTGTCTATTATAGGTTCTCTACTCTTTCTAACCCAATCTTGGGTACACAACAAAGCTTCAACTATCACGTTAGACAAGTTAGCACGATAGTCGGTTAAAACTCTACGACTTGTGCTAAAGGCGGACTCTGATGCTACAGTTGAGATTTGTATCCCCAAAATATCTATTAAAAATTATATTATTGTTAAATGTAACATCATTAGTTATTAAAAGAAATATGAAATATTAAAAAAAAAAGTCAATACCTTTTGCCATTCGAGCAACTATCGGGAATCTTAACCCGTTAAGTTTCCACCAACTTAGGATATCAAAACTTTTGTTGTACGTAACCCGGGGCTCTTTCAAATATATAATTAATTCATTTTCCAACGCATCCGAGTTTAAGGAAGTTGCCAAAAAAATCGTTATCATCATCACAATCAATGACTTGCTGAGAACTTTGTTGTTGAGAAGACCCGTTCATGTTGTATTTTTCCACGTAGGTCTTAAAAAATTTCTCAATCTTCCTCTCGACCTCATAAAGCATTTCATATGCTTTCAATTCTATCTCCGACTTTGATAACTTTTCATCCTTGGAACCAATCATTTCTTTAAAAGTATACAACAATAACTGAGACTTCATTGGAGGATCTAGCAAGATCGCAAAGTAAACATAATCACTCATCTTTGCATACTCGCCCCAATATTTGTCATATTTGTCCTTCATGTTGGGTATCAAATGAACAAAGTTGACTTTCGTTGACCATTTTTTAAGATGTAAGTGCACATCTAAGATTTCCCGGATTAATCGATGGACTAAAGGTTTTATTGAAGTCGAAACATTCTCCGTTTTCGTCTTAAACTTTTCAAGGAAATCCACCATCTCTTTTATCGCCTCGAAGTCCATACGATCCGGTAAACACTAAGCTACATTTTGAAAAAAAATCGAGTGATTTCGACTTCATATGAGTGAGTTATGCTATTTTAAAAACCGGTAAACAATAATAAAATGTGTTGAAACAGAAAAAATGTTGCATTGATATGCTATCTTTCCAGGCTTGTATCTAATTCAATTTTTAACCAAAATATGATTTGTAAAAGTCTAAACTGAAGTATAAACACTAAGCTACATTTTGAAAAAACAAATCGAGTGATTTCGACTTCATATGAGTGAGTTATGCTATTTTAAAAACCGGTACACAATAATAAAATGTGCTGAAACAGAAAAAATGTTGCATTGATATGCTATCTTTCCAGGCTTGTATCTAATTTAATTTTTAACCAAAATATGATTTGTAAAATTCTAAACTGAAGTATAAATACTAAGCTACATGTTGGAAAAAAATCAAGTGATTCCGACTTCATATGAGTGAGTTATGCTATTTTAAAAACAGGGACACAATAATAAAATGTGCTGGAACAAAATAAGAAAAGTAATACCTTTGATGCCAAATTCCACAAAAGCTTCCCATAACTCGTAGGCGGTTTTCAACAACTCGAATGTCGAGTTCCATCGGGTTGGAGAGTCGCCACACAAAAATTTCTTTGTTTCCAAACCCACATTTTTGATCGCTTTTTTAAACTTCTTAATCCTTTGTGTTGAACCTCTAATATACTTCACCGCCTTTTGTACACATTCCACATGATAGTTATGGTATTTTAACCCAACCTTCACGATAAGGTTTAGGATGTGAGCTATACACCGTATGTGGAAATGTTTTCCACCGTCGTAAATCATAGGAAACATTTTAACCAAAAATTCAATTGTCGTGTCGTTGTCTTCCTTTCCTTATTAACGTATAATATCAAAAAAGAATTCATTAAACTTATCCAATTAACTTCTCATTGATGGATTCTTTTACACGTGGCATTATCGATGGTCATTGACATAACATTTTTCATACCCCACCCATGTATGCATGCTAGTAACTCTCGTCCAATTTCTTCACCTTTATGTGTATCTATCTCCCTAAAATTGATGACTCTCTTGTGCATGACCCACTCGTCATCAATAAAATGGGTCATGACAACCATGTAATTGACCTTTTTACAAGAGGATGTCCAGGTGTCGGTTGTCAAGTGTACAGCGGTGTTTGCATTACTAAAATACTTGAACAATTTATTCCTCTCATCTAAGTAAAACTTGCCTACGTCTCGGGAAATTTTATGTCTAGAAGGCAAGATCACCCTACCATTAAGCGCGCTAGTATATTCAATAAATGCTTCATTTTCAACATACTTGAATGGTAGTTCACCAACGATAAAAAGGCCTAGTAATGCTCGTTTGATCCTACTGTCATCATGTTTGTACACTCGTCTCACCATTTGGTTCCTTCTTAAAATTCAATTCGGCTTGCTTTTTTATCATTTTTTCCTTTGTTGTCCGGGTTTAACTTGCAATTCCTCAAATGTTTGTTCATATTAGACGTCCCGTTGCGGTCCGTATCGGCTTTAAGTATTGTATGACAATAAATACATTCCACACTTTTCCTTTCAACACCATCATCCTCTATAATCCACACCGGCTCGAACGCTACCCAACAAGGAGCGGTTCCTTTACCATTATTCCTTGCTCTTTCTCGTTTGCTAGTAATTGGTTTTCGCACGCCTCCATTCCTTTTTCGTTTCTTAGGACTTGGCTTTGGCACGTTTTCTTTTCCGGATCCGTCACTAATATTATTAATTACCGGTGGTATCTCACCAATAAAATCATCTTCATAATCCTACATTTGGAAAATGAGTTCAAAAAAATATTATATATCATCAAGCAAAATGAGTTCAAAGAAGTTTGATTCAAAAGCTGATCCCTAAAAAGACACTTGAGAGGAACTTTGAGTTAGGAAATAAGCTTTAACCTGAGAGAAAAATGCAGCTTGCAAGAGCACTTGGACTTCAACCAAAACAGATTGTTGATCTAATTTTGCTGATCTAATTTCATACACACTTTCTGATCTAATTTCATACACACTTTCTTTAATTTTGCTGAATAAACTTAGATTGAGTTGAATTATATTCATAATATTAACCAACCATTTTGTTGATTATCGTTAAAACTAATAACAATAAATAAAGTTAACGAGTTAACTTAAATACTCCTATAAGACACGTCTAGACTAATTTGTTTTAATATTGGTACATTCCCCGTTATTCTTCTATTGGCAACATATTAATCAAAGTGCATTAATGCCATGAACTCGATATTCAACGTGCATATGGCTTCACATGAACTCTAATTTATTCATAATATTAAACTTTAAATGATTAACATTTTTGCAGTAACTGCTTTCTGCCTTTCTGTATGTCAAAACTTTAAATGATTAACAATTTAAAATAAGGAAAATATAATCTTTTCACAATTTCCCATATTGGTCATTGATGTTTGTATCTTTCGAAAGGGAAAATGAGTCAATATGCAGCATGGGCCCTCAACATACATAAAATAAAACTCACAAACAAAAAAACAAGCACAACCGATCGTCCCTATTTACACAATAAGCAACAATAGCAACAATGATTTACTTGAGTTTCATCTTCTGTATTAACCCAATTACTTGATTTTGGCTTCTCCATTGTTACCCAGTAAGCAACAATCGATTTTTGATTTTGGCTTCTCCAATGTCGATTATCGATCGTGATTTCCTAAGCCCCAAGCAAAAATTGATTTTTGCACTTGCCGATTTTTGCACTTGCCGTTTTGTGTTTAGGTTAATCACGGACTAGATTTTGAATTTAGGATATATCAATATATAGTCAATTTATTTTGAAAATAGATTTTGCATGGATCGACTCTTAGACTTCCTAGCCGGTTCCGGTTTTTTAACCGGTTTTTTTTAGAACCGAACCGGTGGTAGACCCGGAACCGGTTTTGCTAAAAGTCAAGAACCGATAACCGAACCGCTCTACTAATTTATGTCCGGTTCCGGTTCTGGCGGTTCAAAAGCTCATCCCTACTTTTGACCATCAAGGGCCCAACGAGGGTGTTGTTAAAGATACCTAAAATTTGGGTCAAAACCAAAACCACTATTAGAGGGTATTTGGGAAAACTTTTTAAATGATTTTTATCTTCTAAAAAGTTATAAAGATGTAAAAATTCTTTTCAAAATAACTTTTTGTAAAGATCTTTTAACTTTTCTAAAAAGTTATAAAGATGTTTGGAAGATGCAAAAATTCTTTTCAAAATAACTTTATGTAAAGAAGAAAATGGTGAGTTTTCAAAAGTCAAGAAAGCGTGATTTTTTGTAACTTTTGTATTTTTAAAGCTAAATCATATTCAAAAGTCAAAAAATACTACCCGAACACTTTTTAAAACTCACTTTAAGTTTTTTGTTTTCTCAAAAGAACTTTTACAAAAAGAACTTTTAGGCTTAAAAAGTTTTCCCAAACACCTTCTTAATAACAATTTAAATCATTAGCTGGCCCGGAAACCCTCGTTAGGGAAATTCCCTTTAAAAAAAAAAAACAATTTAAATCATTACATCCTCTTAAATCATTATATTACAATTCAACAATATACATAAGTTTTACATTTGTGGTCCCTCGTTTTATATTTTAATTTCAGTTTTAGTCCTTTTGTTTTTTAATATAAATAATATACAAGCCCTGTATATTTGCAATATAAATAAGTTTTACATTAGGTCCTTCATTTTATATATTGATTTCAGTGTTAATTATATTCTTTTTAATACAAATACTTATATATATATATATAAATATATATATATATATATATATATATATATATATATATATATATATATATATATATATATACTAGCAGTGCACCCGCGCAAAGCGGCGGGGCGTGTAAATTCTTTTAGTGATATGTTTCCTCTACAAAAATGTTATGTTACAAAAGAAAGTACACGTCGAAGACAAAATAATCAAACTATGGTGTTATTTGGGAAATGAAGTCATTTTTTGTTCCTGGACGGTGGACTTTATAGTAGAGGAGGGAACAAAGAGGTATATGCGATTGGAGGGATATTTGAATCAACATGCTAAATTTAAGGATATCTAAAAGGGTTCAAAATTTGAATGAATCCGAGATTTGAGGAAACCATATCAAATTGTTGAGAAATATAAGGAGATTTGATGATAAATATGTGAATTCAAAATATGGTTAAAATTTAATATTATTTTATTAATGATTACTTGTACTATCAGCTTCATCATTTGGACGTCTTAAAAAAATATTATTATTATAATCAATCTATTTTTAGAAATAGTTAGATTTCTTTTATAAGATAGTAAAGATATATATATATATATATATATCAACTTTTTCAGGCATGTATACACATATGGATGTAATATTTTCAGTTTATATCCTTCTTTATTTTAAAAGATAATAACATTCCTCACTTTTCCATTTTGTATTCGTATTAGGCAAAACTAATAATTCTATTTATATTTATGATCCTTTAACTTACCTTATATTTATAATAAATATCATATCTTTATTTTAGTGCGGTGTAAATGAATACCACTACAATCAAATCAAAATAATATAACCATACTTACATTTATGGTCCTTTAACTTACCTTATATTTACAATAAATACTTTATCTTTATTTTAGTGCGGTGTAAATGCCACTACAATCAAATCAAAATAATATAACTATACTTACATTTATGATCCTTTAACTTACCTTACATTGATAATAAATACCCTATCTTTATTTTAGTGCGATGCAAATCAAAATAATATAACTATATTTACATTTATGGTCATTTAACTTACCATATATTTACAATAAATACCCTATCCTTATTTTAGTGTGGTGTAAAGGATTCGATCAAATCAAAATAATATAACTATATTTACATTTATGGTCCTTTAACTTACCTTATATTTACAATAAATACCCTATCTTTATTTTAGTGCGTGTAAATGAATATCACTACAATCAAATCAAAATAATATAACTATACATACATTTATGGTCTTTTAACTTAGCTTACATTTACAATAAATATCATATCTTTATTTTAATGCGGTGTAAATGAATATAACTACAATCAAATCAAAATAATATAACTATACTTACATTTATGGTCCTTTAACTTACCTTATATTTACAATAAATACCCTATCTTCATTTTATTGCGGTGTAAACAATTCGATCAAATCAAAATAATATAACTATATTTACATTTATAGTCCTTTAACTTACCCTGTATTTACAATAAATACCCTATTTTTATTTTAGTGCGTGTAAATGAATACCACTACAATCAAATCAAAATAATATAACTAAACTTATATTTATGGTCCTTTAACTTACCTTATATTTACAATAAATACCCTATCTTTATTTTAGTGTAAATGAATACCAAATCAAAATAATATAACTATACTTACATTTATGGTCCTTTAACTTATCTTACATTTACAACAAATATCCTATCTTTATTTTATTGCGGTGTAAACGATTCGATCAAATCAAAATAATATAACTATATTTACATTTATGGTCCTTTAACTTACCCTATATTTACAATAAATACCCTATCTTTATTTTAGTGCGTGTAAATGAATACCACTACAATCAAATCAAAATAATATAACTATACTTACATTTATGGTCCTTTAACTTACCTTACATTTACAATAAATACACTATCTTTATTTTAGTGTGGTGTAAGTGAATACCACTACAATCAAATTAAAATAATATAACTATACTTACATTTATGGTCTTTTAACTTACCTTACATTTACAATAAATATCCTATCTTTATTTTAGTGCGGTGTAAATGAATACCACTACAATCAAATCAAAATAATATAACTATATTTACATTTATGATCCTTTAACTTACCCTATAATTTATATAGTATTCTTTTTCATGCCTAAAGTTTCACTATAAATGAATGTGTCCCAAACTTCATTTTCATTGTACGATAGTTTAAAGAACGATATGCTATATAAGTAAAAGAAAATGAGTTGGTCAGAATATTTGCCATCGTTTGATGAGTTAAATTACAAGGTATGTCCGTGTATTATTATTCATATATATTTATGTTTTTATATATCACATATTTATACTTGTATGTATTGATTAGGCTAATGATATTCATACAAACAATGCACCTCGAGATGATGATAATGAAAATACTTACTTCATCAGTGACACATCAGAATTTGAAACTAGCATGGTATAAAGTTTTAGATTTTTTAATATTGTTATTAATCAATATGTTTACTTGTATCTAATATTTTTTTTAGGTATTTAATTCTCGTCAGCAACTAATAGACTGGGTGCAAAATACGGGGTGTGGACTTGGTTACGTTATTGTAATAAAAAGATCTACTGCTAACTCAAATATTTTTTTTCAATGTGATCACAACGGTACATACAAAAGTGAAAAAACATCCACAAAAAATACTGGTACCAAAAAAATTAATTGTCCATTTGCACTAAAAGGCAAATATTCATCAAAAGATAATTGTTGGTCATTAAAAGTCATATGTGAAATGCATAATTACGAGCCCGCCTTATATTTAGAAGGTCACCCATATCCAAGACGTCTTTATGTAGATGAAACCAAATTAGTGGAAGATTTGATAAGAAAAAATGTGAAACCAAAAGATATATTATCTACATTAAAGAAGGAAAATGTAGAAAATTTATATATTCTTCCAACTATATATAATGCACGCCAAAAATTCAGGATGAAGAAGAATAATGGCAAAACTCAAATGCAAGTTGTTATGTCTTTCTTGGCTGAGAATGGCTATATCTATTATAGTCATGCCCACATGTCATGTTGATGGATGCGAGATACAAAACAAATAGGTACGAGATTCCCCTCCTTGAAATAGTTGGTGTAACTCCAACTAATCAGGCCTTTTGCGTAGCATTTGTCTACATGCATAAGGAATCAGAATCCAACTACACTTGGGCACTAGAGTGTTTAAAATCAACAATAGATAGTTGCATGCTTCCACATGTAATTGTCACGGATAGAGACTTGGCTTGCATGAACGCATGAAATAATGTATTTCCAGAAGCTAAAGGATTACTTTGTAGATGGCATATCAATACAAGCATTAAGAGAAAATACAAAACGTTTTTAGAGCATCGTCGTTGTTGGACCTCCTTTTATTAAGGTTGGAAAAAATTAGTTGAATCTGAAACCGAGGAAGCATACAATTCCAATCTCTTACAAGTTGAAAACATTTTGGTGGACTATAAAGGTAAATTTAACATATCTTTTAGATTTGTTAGTTTATATATATATATATATATATATATATATATATATATATATATATATATATATATATATATATATATATATATATATATTCAAAATTGATGTAAGTGTATTATGTTTCAGAAGTTATTACTTACTTGAAGAAAACGTGGTTGACACAATATAAATAAAAGTTTGTATCTGTTTGGACCGACGTATTTCTCCATTTTTGGGAATTACACAACCAATAGAGTGGAGAGTCAGCATGCCAAAGTAAAATTATACTTGGACTCATCACAATCAGATTTAGCGATGGTATTACCAAGAATTTATGATGCTGTTCAGTCTCAAGACTATGCAATCAAAGCAAGTTTAGGACAGAGCATGATTATTGCATGACATTGTTTCGTCCATCCAATTTTCAGATATTTGGTTGGTAATGTTTCAATTTATGCACTTGAAATAATTTTCAAGGAATTTGAACAAATCAAATTCCTTGAAATTTGTGGATGCCAACTGCATACTAGTCACGGGCTACCATGTGCGCACGAACAAGTGGTATATTTAAAAAATGAAAATCCAATACCACTTGATTCCATTCATAAATTTTGGAAAAAATTTAATTTAGATCCATGCATCCGACTAGAAGATGATGATGTTGACGTTGAAGGCCAAACGTCTAACACATAGTTGAAAAAACAATCAAGATCTAGTAAGTTCGGTTGGGTGCGGAAGTTAAAAGATATTTTTTCACCATCAACAACTTCGCTTCGACAACCTACTTCTCACAAAAACAAAGTACCAAGTGGACGTCCGCGGTTGAGTACACAAACAAGACCTACTGTTCCGCCTACTCAAGATCCAACGACTCAATATCCTCGTAGACATAGTTTTGCGACGTCTATGTCAGATTATAATGGGTCTAATCAGTTTGATTTAAACCAGGAACCAGAGAGGCACAATACATTTTCATTTCAACAACCTTCAACATTTTATTCAAATTCACTTATGAGTGAAATTCCAAATGAATTTCATCCATACGTTACAAACATTGAAGATGTGGAGGGAGATGGAAATTGTGGATTTCGGGCAATAGTTGTCTCCCTCGGGTATAGTCAAAATTATTGGCGTCAAATCCACTTAGACTTATACAACGAGTTATTAGAAAATTGGGGACGATATTTAATGATTTTTCAGGATGACATAAACAACGTACAACACTCGTTGAGTTTCACTGGATTTGGTTCTGCACAAAGTGAATATTGGTTGATTATGCCGGATACTGGATTTCTCATCGCTAATAAGTATGATGTAATTGTCTATTTTTAGACAAACAAGGTTCGTCGACATGTTTTCCACTTTGGCATGGTCCGCAAGATATTTCACATCATAGATCTATTGTTATCGCCTTCGTTTATAATGGCCATTACGTCAAAGTTGATTTACAAGAATTACATCCAATGCCTACAATTTTGTCACTTTGGCGTCACCACAGATCAGAAAGTGCCGCTGGATGGGAAATATTGTATAATGCTCGACTTAATGCATATATTCCACCGAATGCACCACGTAATAATTGTAATATTTATGTAGTTAATGTCCCTGATAATTAATAAAATTAAAATATGATATTGTTTGACGAAACGGTAGTAAATGAAAATGATAATTTTATTTATTATAGTTGTGAAAAAAATATCATCTAATATTTTTTTTATTGTTCGTTTAATTGTTTGTGATCATTATTTTTTATTGTTCGAAACGTAAACAAACTCGAATTTAAACCAAAAAGTTTATAAAAAACCATTTAATTTAAAAAAATGAACAAAAGAAAAGGTTAACCATCTTGAATTATACCGATAAATATATAAAAATAAACACATAAAAATAGTTTTTTTTTATGTTAACGAATGAAAATTATTAATAAAAATCAAATTATGTATAATAAGACGTTAGCAAAAAGGGTCATTCACGCAAGTTTTGGAAACCACAGATATCATATTCGTAAAATTTTTTATCAAAGACTCGCTTTGTGACTTTTGGCAAATCATAAGAACCATTTTTGTAATATATATATATGTTGAGGTTCATTTGAGACCATTCTAATTTTGTGAGACCGTGAGACCAAATGTAAAAATAATTTTAAAATGCAAAATAAATGGAAAAATCCAAAAAAAAATTTTAAATATTATTTTCGGAACTTGAATTAACTAAAAAAAAAAAAATAAAAAATAAAAAATCCCGTTTTTTTTTTTTTGAAAATACGTGAAATATTATGAAATAGATTATTATTATTATTATTATTATTATTATATAACAATTTTATTTGCTCTTTATTTTAATAGAGTTTGTATAGATTTCATATATATTTTCTTTTTATTTTTTCAAATTATATATATATATATATATATATATATATATATATATATATATATATATATATATATATATTAAAGATGAGCACCATTTTGAATAGTGAACATTCTTTTTTTTTTTTTTTTTTTTTGCAAAAATGGCCCGTAGCTTTTCATATTTTGAGTTGTTCAGATTTTTGGCACTAAAGTTTGTGGTGTTGACAATTTGGTCCCTTAGAAGATAAAAATGGAGCTGATACGTGTCATTCCCACGCCTTTCCCCGTCGTTTCTGCCTTATCTTCCCCCCACCTGCTTTCTCATCCAGTCATATTCCCATTTCGATGTTCCTCAAAAGCATAGATCGTCTGGATTTGGGTCATCGACGCCTCCACCACCATCTCGCGTTCCGATTCTTCACTGTCACGTCACCCCCAATCCGGCTTCGCTAGGTTTAGTTCCATCTGTCGAATATTGTTGGTCTGTCGCATCCCCCCAAGCCTCCACTTCCCCTATCTCGGACGTCGCCTCCCGCTCTTTGCGATCACCATCCTCGATTCAGCTTCCAATACCGGTGTACCTCATCGTCATCGCTCCACCAAGGCTTCGTGTCATCGCCGCTTCTGCCACCGGTCCAGGAAACCCACCGCTTCACTGTTCCTCGGTTACAACACTTTGCTTCGTTCCGGTTTTGCATCGGCTGGCTGGTTCTAATTTCATTTCATTCTTATGTAGGTTTCGACGAATTTGAAAGGGTTTTGACGGTCGAATTCCGAATTCCAGGTATCTCACCTCTAATTTCGGATTTTAAATAGCTTAGACTTTGAAGTCGCCGACAACGTGCAGCGAAATCATATTAGGGTGTACGTATCTTTCTCTTCTTTATTTTTTCCCCGTTTCTGTTCAATGTATTTGCAGTTTTGTGTTTGGTTTGATAAAGATGATGTACTCTAGGTTTTCTACAATTTCTATTTATGATTTTGGAATTTGGCAACATATTATTCTCCTGTGATGGATTTTACTGAGTTGACTGATTCTTGGATAAGATCCATGGGTTAACGGTTCCAACAGACAGACCTTACCAAGTGCACAATCTGCATGAACCAATTGGGGTTGTTGGACAGATCATTCCATGGAACTTTCCTCTTCTTATGTTTGCTTGGAAAGTCGGTCCCCCCTTGCTTGTGGCAACACCATTGTTTTAAAAACAACTGAACAAACTCCATTGACTGCTCTTTATGTTGCACAATTGCTCCATGAGGTACCATAAGATTTTATATATGGGAAAAATAGCTAGACCTTTTGTTTGTTGTTTTTTGGAAGCACATATTACAACAAAAAAAACATTATGTTTTTGGAGTATAGTTCAATTGGCTTTTATCTGTAGGCGGGTCTTCCTCCTGGTGTTCTTAATATAGTTTCAGGATTCGGTCCAACTGCTGGAACAGCTCTTGCTAGCCATATAGATGTTGATAAGGTAAATAATTAGTATTAAAATATTTAAATCCTTTTATATTATGCTCATTTGCATCAAATCTGATAATTCAATGCTTTCATTTGCAGATTGCATTTAGAGGATCAACTGAAACCGATAAAATTGTGCAAGAATTGGCTGCAAAAAGCAATCTTAAGCCATATACTTTAGAGCTCGGAGGGAAATCACCTTTTATCATTTGTGAGGATGCTGACATTGATAAGGTTGTTGAACTAGCTCACTTTGCCCTCTTTTTCAATCAAGTGTGTACTTTTTAGATTTAAAATTTTCAATCTTTTTGCTCTCAAAATGAATGTGCTAAATATTTTAATATATAGGGCCAATGTTGTTGTGCTGGTTCACATGCCTTTATTCATGATCACGTATACGATGAGTTTATAGAGAAATCAAGAGCACGTGCTCAAAGACGCATTGTTGGTGATCCTTTCCAAAAGGGTATTGAACAAGGCCCTAAGGTATTTGCTTTTCGGGTTTTTTTTGGACGTAATGGGTTAGCACTTGATATATGAATGTTTCTTTTTTTACTTAATCTGTATAGAATGACTAATGTATTAAACCAACAAACCTGGCTTAACGTACACATGTACAATTTTTAGATCGACTCGGAGCAATTTGAGAAGATTTTAAAATACATAAAATCTGGGGTTGAAAGCAATGCGACTCTTGAATGTGGAGGTGATAGATTAGGGTCCAAAGGTTTCTACATCCAATCAATCGTTTTCTCTAATGTTCAGGTACAATGTTTACCAATAAAACCCTAATCTATCCCTTGACCAAAACGTATGAAACGTTGACCAACATTATAAATTGTTCAGATTATAATTTCTGCCAGTGACTATGTCGTTAATTGGTCAAAATATTATCTATCTTTCATAACCCAATCTTTAAAAAGAAAATATTTTTTGTAAACAACCTACAAAGATGTCAAATTTTACCCGAAAAATTGAAAGTTTTTATGTAGCATGTCGCAGTAATTATTGGCTTTGTAGTAGAAATAGAAATAGAATATTGATAAATATCTTATTCATCATACACGTGGCAGGAAAGGAAAAGATGAGGTGGCGAGCAAGGATAAGAACCGGATAAAATAGGACATGACTAATGTGTAGGCAGCCTACACACCTTTGCAAGCAAGTTGTTTTACAGGTTCATTCTTTTGTATCTTAATCGCCAACTATATTTATTTGTTCAGTTCGATTATTATTATTTACAACTATTATTAAGTTAATGATGGGAATATATTTGTTGTATAATATGTTGCAGAATCACAACAATTTTTCGGTCTATTGATTTTGGATCTTTCAAAGTATTTCCCAAAAATGTGGATGTCGCTGAGGCACACGTTAACAATCAAAGCTTCTTTTTTTGTTTTGTATCTAATTATGAATATGAATCATATGATACTTAGTATTCTGTTTTGATGTTTATGTGTAGAATCTTATTACTGCAAAAAATATGGTTATAGACAAGAGTATTTAAAGAAGAACCCTTGGTTCCAGTTTCATTTTAATTTCAAAATCCTGTATTAAATAAAAAGATAAAAGTACAGGTTAGTATATCTCTCAACCATAAACTCGCTTTGAAAACTTCTCTTTATATTTAACAGGTTATTGTGATGGTTTCGTGGTTAAAAAAGTTGGACCAAACTACCCATGCATACTATTTCTATAGTTAAAAAAAATTTGATTTGAGGATTTTTGGACAAAACTGCCCATGCATAATGTTTTTAAACTAAAAAAAAATATTTTAACAGTTTTCGATGAAAGTACCCGTGCATATTATTTTATGGTTAAGAAAATTGATTTTAACAGTTTTGGACCAAAATGCCCCTGCATAATGTTTTTATAGTTAATTTTTTTTTTTTGAATTTAACAATTTTGGATGAAACTACGATTGCATACCGTTTTTATAGTTAATTTTTTTAGTAAAGTAGTTGTAATTACCTTCTCACCCAAATTAATCACATTACTCTTGTAGAATCTAAGGACCAATGCAAACAACCTATGATTACTAGGTGTATACATTGGGGTTGTATATAATTAAGATTCGATCTTCATATCTCATGTATACTCATGGACCAAGGCAACAACAAAAAGCTGTTAAGAATGTTCCCTCCACACAAATGCATAAATTATATGAGGTCAAAAGTCAAAACTTCATAAAGTCTTAATGGATACTTGATTTCTATATTTGTAATAATGTTTTTTTTTCACAAAAAAATAATGAAATTGTACATGAACAGGTTTTAGAGCCTTGACACCTTTAGAATTCCGATTTAGGAATGAAGTTAACAACCTTCATCTTAGTGGTGCACCCATTGATGAAAATTGGGGAAAAAGGGATCCATGATTCTATAAAAAATTTTACTAAAAACTATATATAGTTTACTCATTTACTATGCTTGGTTTCATGTATTTATTCATAATATTGCATACTAAAGTTTTGCTTTGTTTATTTAACAAAAAAAAAGTCGTGTTATGATAGTAAATAATCGAGAAGGATACATCAGTCAAATAATAGAAACGTAAAAACTACTACTTTTCTATTAATATCTACATTTTGCCAAGGTTTATATGGAAGAAAACTAATGCAAAATCATTTTGTGGCATCATTAAAATTTATAAATTAAAGAAAGTTGGTCTTAACAGATGAGAAATGTGTGTGGGCATATATATATATATATATATATATATATATATATATATATATATATATATATATATATATATATATATATATACATGTAAATTAGTTGGCAACAGGAAAGATTTGCCTCTTCTTAAATGATTACTGTTATCCAACTATCACATTAACAAAACTATAATTCTACCTCCTCTTTCAACTTTTGACTAAGATTCCTCTTATATAATAGTTAGGATAATAATAAAAAATGTTGATTTTTTTTTAAATATAAGATTGTTTAAAAAAGAGCTTAAATTTGTCAAAGAAGTTACAGAAACCACTGGTGTGGTCCTAGACTTTGACTTTTGAGCCATTAGACTTAGAGATCATTTCATGTTTTTCTAGCAGAGGTATGCTATTGTCCAAATAACATTTACAAAGAACAAAAAATGTAAAAAATTATCGCATTTGACCCCTGCAACGTGGTGGTTCCCCACCTAGTTATAAGGAAAAAATATGAATATTTTTAATAAATTAGACGGTATATACTGTAAAAAAAATAAATTAAATATAAACAAAATTAATTTTTGTAGAATTAATATTTATGTGAGAACTTTAGATTATTTTTCCGGTCATTTTTCTTCAAAACTAATACTACACACGATGTGTGGTACATCATCTAAGCCAATCACACTATAATAATAATAATAATAATAATAAAACAATGTTTTTTGTAATCTTTCTATTGTAATAGATGAATAAGTTTATTAATATTAGAAATTCTTATTAATATTATATATAACATATCATATCAAATGTCAACCTATTAATTCTCTATTTTAAATTTTAAATTTCTAACTCTAATTACATTACATTAAATTAATAATTATTTCTTCATTTTAAATTTCACACTTCAATTATATTAAATTAAAAACATTAGAATAAAAATAAAACAAAACATATATATATATATATATATATATATATATATATATATATATATATATATATATATAAGGTGATATAATTTCATGTATTTATTTAAATCAACGATTAGAATTTTATATAACTAAAAAATATTTCTTAATTAATAACTTATTAAAATAATTTATTTGAAATAATTGATTAATAACTTTAAGTTTTTATTATAAAAGTTTAATTAATTTTATGACCGTGAGTGTCACGGGTTATAAACTAGCGTGTATATATACACATCACACATTTATAGTTTCCATTGCTTTTTTGACCTACAATTGGCTAGAAATTGTTTGTTAAGTTATTTTTTTTTGACAAATAGATGTTTCTTAATATAATTGAAGTGTTGATTTTTGTTATTCATATTTAACCGAGAACCAAACAAAATAACTTTAAAATCGATTTACCCAAACCTTATTTAGTTCGGTTTCAATTAATATTTTAGAAGTATAAAAACCGATTAGATTGAATTGAATAAACATATAACCTATTAAAAAGACGAACAAAACCCCTACATGCATTGATATTCTAGTTTAATAATAAGAAAATGACCCCTATTATAAATATACATATATGCAAATTACATAAAAAAAAGCATCACTTTTTATTATGGTGTGATTAACTTAAACGATGCTTTAGGGATGTTGTGGTGGTGTTGGTGTTAAAAAAATTTGGCCAAAAAAATCTCAAGTTCTCATGCAAATATTGGTTCTTAAAAGAACTTTTAATTTTGTTTACATTTAGTCATTTTCTTTGTACATTGTATATCATCTAACTTGTTGAAATTGTTTATATTTTACCCTTGTAACCAATATTAGTTGGTTACAATGGTAAAATGTGAACAATTTCAACAAGTTTGATGGTATATGGTGTGACATTCTCAATTTCATGGCAAAAAAAAAACCGATTTAATTATGTTTATTTTATTCAGAGTATAATTTTTAAGGAATTATAATGCAGAATTTGTTCTCAATAATGTGATAATATTCTTACCATGCATTTCCGAAGAAATATGTTTCATTAATAATTTTAAGATGTTATCATCAATACAGAAACACAAGCATAACAAAAATATTACAGGCCTTACAATATCTAATGACCTATATTTCCTTTATTCTCTTATCGGAACTAAACATCAAGTATCTTCGTATCGATACTTATGATATAAAGAAACTGAGTGGGTCAGGTTGGAAAACTTGGTGAGCACATAAGGATTTTAATCCCACAATGTTATAACATATACATCTTAAAACATGTAATATCATTAATGCAAATATTTCACATATAAGCAATCTACCCCATCTCGTCGATCCTCGCATTTCAATCATATACAACGAGATAATCAATACTCTTGGATTTGGAAATGAATGACTTTACCTAATCCATACTCTCAAATTATGAATAAATAATTATATCTAATCTATACTCTCAGATCCAGAATGAATAATTGGATCTAATCCATACTTACGGACCAGTGACAGATAATTATGTGTAATCCATACTCTCGGACAATAGACTATGCCTAATACAGACTCTCGGACAGGGATGTTAGAATTCTACTCTCCATTCATGTCTCGTTTGTACTCTTAAGATAATGCTACCCATTACACTTAACTCTTTTTTTAGGTCTTTATCTTATCTCTTAGTAAGACTACAATGCTTAATTCCTAGTATTAACTCTGCTTAGACAACACTATCCCACTTCAATGTATACAAAGTATTTAGGTAATAATAAACTTTTATCCTTCCCTCTAATGATACTTTTATAATTATTATATTGAAATAATAGATATATATCTTAACACATATAGAACCATAATTGGTTCACATATCATATAATATATAATACGTTCTTAACACATATTCCATGCAATAAGAATATAACTCGCATATGAACTCTTTAACAAATACTTAACACATTAATTAATACTTACATTGAAATCATGTTCATGCAGAGGACTATGCATTCACTTGATCACTCGAAGGCTATTCCTTGTCTGGTACTCAGGGATCGTAGGGCTTCACTGTTATATTAGAAACTATGGTAAAATGGTAAAATGGCTATAAGTCGAAGAATATCGAGAGAGAGAGAGAGAGAGAGAGAGAGAGAGAGATAGAGATAGATAGATAGATAGATAGAGAGATAGAGAGAGAGGGAGTGTAGGGGTGAGACATGAAAAACTTATACGCAGGCGGGTATTTATATCCCGAAAAAGCAATGCTCGTCGTGCACCTTGTCGGTATGCTCTATGCACTATATCAGAGGTGATGATGTGGCGTTCATCTAGTTGTAACACATGTTGCAATCTCGTGGGTTTTCGACACGCACCGTGCATCTTGTTTGTGTGCACGATTACACGATTTTTTATAAAATCTTAGAAAACTCATATTTTCTTTAGGCGAGCTCTATTTTAGATGAGTTTTATATCCACGTGTAGCTATCGATGCGATCTACAACTTTTATTTAGACTCTATGGGATAATTTTGACTTTATTTTGTAAAGTTATATTTTTAATAGGCTTAGATTGTTAAAGTCCGTTAAAAATTCATAACTCTCTTATCTGACGTCCGTTCTTAATTTTATTTATATTGACGGATTTTTATTAATGATATATTCAATTCTCGTTTAGATTTTTTCTCAACAATCAACCTTGTGAATTTCGGTACCAGTGTTGCACACTGTTGCGCTGAAATTTAGAAAAATCATAATTTCCTCTTACGAAGTCAGATCTGGGTGTTCTCTATATGCATACTCTCGATTTAACGACTACTATGACTTTCGTTTAGATCTCTTAGGCTAAAAGGTAATCTATCAAAAAATTTACTTTTTACGATGCACAGAGTCATGTCCGTTTAATCACAAAACTTTGAAGAATCATAACCCATCAAGATGACATT